GATAGGATGAATGTGAAGCCAAAGTGGGACAGAGGCAAATACTGATGTATGCAAAACCTTGGAACAACAGGGATCTGAGATACAGAGATTGAAACATGGTTTGAATGGGGAAAAGGGGGGAAATAATGTTAAGATGCTTGGCTGTCTATTGAATCTTGGTTCCCCTGGCATACCACTATAAAATAGACACTGGAGGGGGCGAGAAAAGAATAGCCAGAAATACCATCATAGAAAGATTGTACGTCCATCTTCTGCCTATAACTGATTGGAATACCTAAAATGGAGAAACAATGTGCCCAGTGAAGGTGGCTTTCTGCATTACACAAGACCATAGGTGGAATCCTGAACAGCATCCAGAATCTTCTGAGGGGGAATTTCCACTTGAAAGGACAAGCAAACCAGTCTGGAGTGGCCAGAAGAATAGAAGATACTTCCTGAAAGAAAGACCAACAGGAAAAATACAAAACAATATAGGCAGGCTGATTACTACAAGAACAAACAATTGGCTCAATCAGGAGTCATCACGGCAAGTTGTCAGTTCCCCCTCAGGGCAAACCCCCTTCTAAGACTAAGGCTCAATGGGAATGCATGCTCTGATTGGTAACTACATTTGTCAGGGAAAAACAGCAATGAAGCTGAGAGCTAAGCCATACAACGCTCAATAGACTCCTGTGAACCTGGATGGAGACCTAGTTGGCCAGCAGTGTGCCAAGTCCAGGAGACTCTTGGACCCAGAGTCAGTGACATAGCCACAGAGGACTAGAGTGGAGAGTGAAGCGTCCAGCTGATAAGAAGAGAGCTTGCAGATAATACCCACTTGACCTGGCTTCAATGACTGGATGATCAGAGCTCAAACAGAAGAAGAAAGAAGAGGGAAGCAAGAATAATCTGATACAATTTGATGAACTTGACATACACCTATGGGAACAGTAGCTCAAAAGAGGGAATAAATCTTCACAGCAAGGTTCATTTCCACCTTCTCCGCACACAGAGAGTACAGAATTCTGGGGGGTGGGGGTGGGGTGGGGATACAGAGGCAAGAAGTGACTGGCTTACAAGCTCTCAAGAGGGAACCTAGATCCAGAGGGTGTGGAGGAAGGTAGAATCTCCACTGAGTAGTATCCATTCTGCCTCTTGGGGGCTGATGAAAGGAGATGCAGCTAGGTCTCTTGCCATACAATAGTGAATAATTGTTATCAGGACTAATTGTAAGGGTTGGAATTGTAAAGGTAGATATTTTGGGGCAAAGGGAGAGGTGTGATTAACCTTGCAGTCTAGGAGTGGAGGTCCCTGGACCATCAAAGGGGAAGAGCAGAGAATGGAACCCTACCCAGAGAAGCAGTGATGCCAGGGATGGAGGCAGAGACGATGAAGTGGGGAGATGGAGCGGCTGGAGACTTTGGACCTGGAGATGGAGAGGGACGGTATGGAAGGGATTGTAACCATGGCAAGGAAATGATATACGATGGGATCAATGTGAAGCTGATGTCCTCCCCTGTAAACTATCATAATTCACAATAAAGCATTAAATAAATTAGTATTAAAAAATATGGCCTTTGGTTTTTATTTTCACTAAAGGATAGGTAAATAATCATTAACATGTGACGGCAAAATTTCTTGAGAATGCAACATGTCAACTTTTTCAATGTGGGGGTGAAGAGAACAGAATATTGCTCAACTAAATAATAGCAGAAGTGAGTTTGCACCAGCTACTATGCTAATGGATTTAAATGTAATCAGGTAGGTACCTTTATTACCATAATTTCACAGAAGATGAGACTGAGGCTCAAAGAACTTAAGCAATGTATCCTAAGTCACAAAGCTAAGAAGAGATAACACTAGGATAGTAGTCATGTAGATAAACACTAGAGCCTGTGATCTTAACCACTGTGGCAGAACCTTTGTGCCCTACCCTCTAAGGGAGACAGGAAAAGAGAAAGAAGGGCTTGGGTCAAGGACTGATAATTATTAGAATAATCAGAAATGGATATAGTTGGTACATGTTGAGACATTTATTTCGAATTATAAATATAGAAGGTAGTTTTAAAACCACCCTTTGGAAGTCTAGGTGAGATAAAGCTGGATTTTGGATAACTTAGCTTGAATCAGGGAGATGGCTCATTTAACCTCAGTTCTAGTAGACAAACTATGGGGAAAGAGAAAAAAGATAGGTAGACACTGGAGACAGAATGGAAAAATTGTCTGAGAAAATTAGCTTAAGAAATTACCAGTAGCTTCAAAACCTTTATTCAACTTTCTTTTCTCTCCCTGTGACCAACACCAATTTTTTCCACATTCCTCACTCAAGAAGCTGAGTTAAAGCAATTCAGATGCATCTCGATTTCTGCCACAAGAAAATTCTTTTGGTGAACGGTCTTAGGCGAATGGAGACTTTAGGATGTAGTTAGACAGACAGTAGTTATTTCTTAACTCTGGATATTCTCCACTCTCCCTTTGCCTTGTCAGGGTTGGTGTGACCAACCAGTAAGCCTAAAGATGTCACCATCATATTTC